CACCCCAGTTTTATTTTGCTACTAGCCGCTTAATAGTAAGCAGACTATCTAAATAATTTTTGCAAATGCCTTCTTGCTGTCCAATTCCCCTTATTCTCTGTTCTTGATCCGCTCAATTCTAAACAGAGCGCCATGTGTTGGTTTCATTCGTGAGACTTCCGATCTAATCACATCGAATGAAGGCCCATCTCCGTGTTTTGTACTCCGCCTTGCTCCGTTGGTCTTGCTGTTTATTAGTACAAAACCGGTCCTCTGACATTGTCTTTGGTCTCGGATGCGTCTATTCTGAAGGAACTAGCACCGCACTAAGATCGTCTAGTGAATGTTAATATTAACGGTGCCACTCAGCTGAGGTGAAACGCTTGGCTAGGTGGGGATCGAGAATCCTTAACGCGTCCGACTGGAGTGATTTTGTGTGAAAAAAAAACCAAGCAGTAGCGCTACAGAATACTAAGCGTGTCTCATACGAAGTTTGGCTCAGGGAGTCGAACTCTGACCAGTCAGCATGGAGAAAAAAGAAATCGGCAGTTCTGACAGCGCGTACGAAGGGGGCATTGAACGAGTAACTAAGCAGACACATTTCAGCAGTGATCATATACGGCAAAGCCAAACCTTACGCTAGGTCCGCGGTCCGAGACATTCCCAATGCATGGAATACGACCGCCTAAGACTCAAGGCATGTATGTCCACAATTGAGCGGAGACCCTGTGACCGATCAAATGACAAAATTCAGGGAAAACGAGCAATCCGACTCGTCCATTAGGCTTTTAGTAGAAGAATCAAGTTTGTCAGCTGCATAGTATACTGTTGACTGCGTTCTACCACTTTTGCCAGTGAATCTCCACAAGTCGTCCCAATCTGTTTGTGAATTCCTACCAGTGTTGGACGATAAACTGGGTGCCAGGTGAGACACAACGGCCTAACCTGTCGGCTTCAAACCCTGGGAGTCCACGGGTTGTGAATAACAGGACGGTCTTCGGCAAGGGTCATATGATAAATAAGCAGACGGGGACCGGCAACGGCAGCGTTACGATGATACGATTGACCGAGGTTCGATGCACTGACTACCCGACATACGAGGTACTGTAAAACCCGGCGCCGCATCCTGGCATGGTGACCTAGGGCTGCCATTGAATGGGTTCTCTTGCCACCGCTGCCTTGTCTATTCCCACATGTACTTTGTGCGCCCGTGATCATGCTGCATCTATTCGTCTCGCGAATTGCAACTTGACACGCGCGACCTTCCACAAAAGAGATAAGGGGCAGCTCGGCAAATTCTCCTCTCCAAATGCCGAAAGTCTCCACGGGATGTTGGACCAGGTTCAGATTTGGCCTCGAGTTTCTCGTTCTGTCTCCAGGTGGTCAACAGCGTCGGACCAAAGGCAGTGGCACTAAACTCGTGAAGCGGGAGACGAAGAACACGCCCAAATCGCCTTAGTCATCTTTCTTAGATGGCTACAGATAACTTCAACATGTTGCAGCGTGCGCGCACTCACATTCGATATGAGGTCGGCTCGCTTCGCTTGAAGCATGGTTCCCAGTTAATGTTGGTAAAATACCTCCGGTCTTCGCTGGCAATCAAAGCATATGGAGAGTAAATAATAACTGGGAAGAGAGACCGACTGAACGGATGCTCGGTGCAAGAGATTTTTTGGATAAAACATGTTACAAATCCATAGACTTCCAAGACAAAAAATCTTATGAAGAGCAACGACTGAGAAAACAGCATCAACCCTACTAGCCAATTTTGCGATAGCTTCGTCCCGTAATACTGGGAAGTGTTCGCTCCTTCCCAGTTTACAGTTACCAATCCCGATGTGCGTCCTAGTTAGCAAAGCAGCTCAGAAACAGCAGTTCTCGCGACCTTTATGGGAAAGCCGACTGGTCCAGCGACCTTGGTCACCTGCAACAATACACCTCAATTTGATAGAATTTGACGTTAGAATAACGATATAGACAACAGCCTGCGTCCGTCAGTCAGCGACCATGCTGATGATATTGCCTTACTTGCTTCAAGCTCTGGTGAACTGCAGTCTCTGGTGTCACGGGTGAGCGAGGCCACTAAATCGGTCGGCTTATCTATGGACGCTGGGAAGACCAGTTTGCAAAGCTGCATACCTGACCAGGAGATGGCACATTTCGGGATTGATGGCTATCAACTTGAAGTAGACAGTTTTAAATACCTCGGGGCAAGGCCACTGCCGAATGGACGGAGTATGGACGACATTGTCCCCCGAATTGATGCTGCCTACCGGGTTTTCTAAAGCCTCAGAAAATGCCTATGGATCTGACGCGACATCTACACTGCCACTGAAATTCGTGTGTACCGTGCACCTGTCCGGTCTGTCTTTACGGTTGTGAATGCTGGGCTATGCGCGTGGAAGACGAGCGAAAACTGTAAGGTATTTGACTACCACTGCTTGAGGGCCACCCTTCAGGTGAAGTGCACCGACTTCTTCTCAAATTAGAGTCCGCAATCGATGTGACGACATCGCAAAGATAACCCAGACTATCAAAAGACGACTGATGTGGTTTGGGAACGTTCTTCGTCGTCCACCTTAGGGGCTCATTGTTACTGCTCTCCGTTCAGCACCACTATCAGACCCGATTGGAGGTTTCAGAGGGGGGCCATTTCAAAACCTGGCCCGATACAGTTCGTCAATACATGGGAATGGTTCCTGGACCTTCGGTATTGGGTCCGCCTTTGGTGAAGAGAATGGGTTGAACTGCCCAGGTTTGCTACTGCGGGTCGTGACACGTGGAGAAATACAGCTCGGGATATCAGTGAGGCAGGCCAGATCAGGCATGATCGTAGCCGTAACAAGTACACGTCAGTCGGCGTTCGGATGAGTTTAACATCGCCAAAACCGTGGAGAGCCTTTCCGAGTTCAGTCAATAACGACATCGAATGGACCACAAAGTGCGCTTATTCTATGCGTCAGTCCAGATATCGAGCAGCGGCGAATGATAACAGGCCTCAACCACAGCGAGGATTTCCTGTCGACAAACCGCCCACACCCATTTTTCACACAGACACTCACCAAAACAGCATCTCAGGCTACAAAGAAGACAACAATGCGAACAGTTGCTGGTTGCTAGCAGCCGTGGCCGTCCAAAAATACGCCGTGTGAATATTTGGTGGGTAAACCCGCGTCCAGCTCGGAAGCCGACTTCGTGGGGTCTTGGCCCGAATAATGAACACTGACATCACCTGAGAATGACGAACGCAGAGGCCTTTGCACTATTGTCTACTAGCCTTATATCGCGGCATCTTTCGCTTTGTCTAATCTCCTTTATAGAAGATAAAAACAGGTGGTTGAGTCCCGTACATCGGGACGGATTTCGTCCTCCCACGCCGACTAATGGCACAGTCAAGGCACCATCGTCGATACAAAGCCCGCAGATTTCAGCGGATATGCCGTCCCACACAGATACCTTGTGGCTGAGTGGCCTCAGCACTGTTTTGGTGATTATTTGCTGAGAAATGTCACGCCGCTGCGTAGGCAGGCGTGGGGCAGGACTTCTCTGCAGGGGAGACGGAGGTAATGGACTGGTCTGCGGAGGATCCAAATTAGCAATTGTGACCGAGTGACGCGGCAGGTGACCCCAGGAATCTCGGCTTCCAAACAGCTAGCCACTTATTTTGACCGCAGCAGGGGGGACAAGCCTCCATGATGCAATGACGAAGGTAGAGCGCTGTCAAACCTTGGGCAGTGGTCAAGGAGCGTTCGCACACCCCGGCTGGCAATATTTTGTCCTACCCAGTTCTGCCACTAGTGGTTGCGAAGGGTAGAGAACGTAAATGGTCGATATCATTGATGCGACAATTACTGCACGTACATCAGATTCCCAGCAGTCATTTTAGAGGTGCCACGGCTTTATCTAACCGGTTCGTTCCTGTCGGATGATCTCTGAGCGCCAGTATGGATAACCCCCTCACAGGTAGTCAGCACCAGGTCACGTACGGCCAAGTGGCGTGATAATTGCACTCATGCACGCGCTTGGTAAGCGAGAATTCTGTGGCAAGGTGGTACATTGTTGAGGGACGATAAAGCGGTGCACAGAGTTCCTAGCCGCCTTCAGGTAACACCAAAGGGTTCACCATTGATTGAGTAGTCTAGATCGCATATTCTCCCGCACAAAAGAACCAGCGTTGAGAAGCGCGTCGGTTACCGGCATACTGTGGTTAGGCCTCAATGGGTAAAATAGTACAATTCAGACAAGTAGCCCTAGTGGCTGTTGGGTAGCATCCCTGTCGAAATCTTTGAAGACATCTCAGATCCAACTGGATCAGGCACGATCAACGGCGTGCGATGTATGGGCAAGTGCATAGGGCGTCAGTCTGGGACAGGGGGTCTCGAAGTCACGGACGCAGAGTATCACAAAGACGATAGGACAACAAAGATTTAACCTAGATGAAGCCAGCACATAGGAAAATATTGGAAGTGAAATTAAAATGAGGAAATGCCATTTTTTCACAAAATCTTGAGATGACCGAAAACCCGAATCATGCGTCACTGCCCTGACCTTTCGAATGAAGGACGCCGGAAAATTGTACACCAAATGTTCTATTTACAACGATAAGTACGGTCTAAAAGTTATACTGTACAGAGGAGGTACAAAGCAAAATGAAACTATGAGTTGAGCATGGAAATGCAATCCTGGGTAACCCAATGCATAAGTTATACTCTGGGACGCGTAGGCATTTACGAAGAGGGGTATTTGAGTCAGGCGTATTCGCTGGGCGTGCCACCTCAAAAAGTTCAACCATATTAGAAATATAAGTAATCAGATAAGACAAATTGAACCAGTGACAAAAAGTGGGAACGCGCACCAACGAAGGCCTGGGAAGTTCCAATAAGTGAGTATCAGCACACAGGCACACACGTCCGTGCTCACCGCGCATGGGCATCATAAGGTGGAAAAAATAGACGGCATTGGGAAAAGTTGATTCCAACGTACACTACAATTAGTCAGGTTTCTTGGGAGCAAATACTTGCCTAGCTTTCCACTGCGGCGGTCTGCTGATCTACAGGGAGCCATGCATCCTCGACGGCGGAATAATAGAAATTGGCGTCCTCAATATACAGAAAATACGGACAAGAATCCCCCTCCATGATCATTGAGGTCCATGGGCGAGGGCTTTCGTTACTTTCAAATGGTTGAAGAGAGGGGGTCAAAGGGTCGGAAACATTCTGGTTATCCTTCAAAGGTGATTTTGATTTTTCCTGTTTCGGTTTGGGCTTCAGCGGCTTTGGCTTACACACGGGCATCGGTGGACGGACGGACTTTGGTGGGGGCGGTAGTATGGGCTGGAAAGGCTGAATTGCTTCAGGAATAGGTCCTTTAGGCGCAATAGGAATAAAGTTTGATGGGAGAACAGTTGGAGAAACAAAAGAACCCTGAGCTCCAACGGAATGAATGGGCTGCAGCACGTATCCAACTATTGTCTGATTACCTTGTGTGCTGGGACCTTCTGTGGCTTTGTGTGCAACCAGGGATGAACCATTGACTAACTGCACTTGGCCGGCTGATGAATCGCTAAGGAGGGGAACGGTCGTATTACTAACAGGGACCTGTGTGCCGTTAGACTGCGTGATAAGTGCACAGGCAGTAGAAGTTATCTGCGGGATGCTTCCCATGTTGACTGCAGCAAGGGGTGCAGCTGCAGCCGAAGTTCTAGTTGGCTGACCGGGAAGTACACTTCCAGGAGTCAAAGGTGATGGTAGTATCGTTACTGAAGTCTGGTTTAGGGGAAGGCCAGGGCCTGATATCTTTGTAACTTTTGCTGGACGTCCGCGGGGTCTCAAAGGAGTTGTGACTGGAGACTTTTCGAGCATTTTCTGTTTCTCCAATAACTGTTGAACGGCCTTAGCAATGACAAGTGATTCGTTTGGCGAAGGAGTGAGATTACTTGCGGTCCCGGAGACTTCTCCAGTGGAATTTTCAGAAACAGAGGACAGAGAAACGCCTACCTCTGATACTGTGGCTTCTGGACTTTCCGAAGCGAGCGAAGAGACACCCCCGCGCCTCCAGATGCTTACTAATGCTTCCAATTCGCCAAGATGCTTGTGGAAATCCTTTACAGATCCAGAAGAGGCTAACTCAGCTAAACGACGCAGGCATGGAGCCAACTTGAGGCCCCTTGCTTTCTTGGTGCGAGCAGCAAGCCGATCTCGCGCTGCTGCCTTTCGCTCAACGTGAGTTACTTTGGGTGGCTCTGGTGACTTGGGGCTTTTATCCGGCGACGAACCTAAACGCACTTTTAGTAAACAGAACGGACATACTTTTTGGGCTTTCCTCAGACGAATTATGAACAGGGAGTTGGTCAACAATATCATCCAGAACAACCTGTATGTCTGGAAAAGGGTGGTGTAAATTAGGCAGCTTACCTTCGCTTATGACGATATCTTCCTTCCCTGGTTCTTGTACTTGGAGGCTGCGTACCCTGGAATCGATTTTTGCAGATTCGGGAAGCGGCGGGTGACTATGTACCATGTGGTACCTCGTAATCCACAGTTTCCCATTCATCGCAGCAAGGCTAAGCCTAGAAGCGCAATTATTTCGGGGAGTTCTATCAATAAAGGATTTCTGGTAACCGAGAACCTGTGATTTCTATGGGCATGTAGGGCATTCTGGTAAACGCCAAAATGATAGCAAACATATTGCAGGGAGCTGTACACGAGGCGGTCGCGGTCAGCTGTAGTTTCCGGTAATTTCTTCGAACTTTTGATTATGTACACTGAGCCAGTTAGCTAGTGGAGGATAGAAACAATAAGTCTCGAACCCTTTCAAAATCCTTTAACTTGGATTGAAATTCCTCAAATGAGGCAAACTTCTGCGAGTAGAAAGTTCGCAAAAACTGAGTAGTTGTATCCATTCAGAATTATGACAAATTGTATCAATCAGAAGCAAGTTTACTTCGATATCGAAATAAAACTGAGATTAAACCATGGACGACGAGTGGGCGACAGAGCTTGGATAACCGAGACGCAAATACTCAACATGGCCCCCGTGACCTCATTTTAAGCAAAGCCTATTGGAAAAGGGAGATATGGTCAGTTCAGTAAACAAATACAAGCAATGCATAGGGCCAAACGAAAATCCGCACATCCCTGAGTGATGCAGGATATTTGTATTGGACTTCCTGGGCTTTATGAAGCAGCTTGTTGTTTGTAATTGCCTCTTCTTAAAACATCTCCCGCCGCCTCATACCCATAGACTTTCCCTTATTATACTGAATGGTTTTCTTCGGGAAGACAGATTCGCCTCATAAAAGTAATCAGAGTGTAAGAAGTCACGAGGATTCCATGCATCCTGCTTGGTGTATATTACCCGTGACGGCAGTGATGACACGACTGCTCAGTTTAGTAACTGTCGCCAGTACAGTCGGCTAGAAATTGTAGTTCTACGAGAATACGAAAGGTGTGGGTTAGCAATTGCTTTCGTCAACCCACTAGAAGCGGACTTCTAATGGACATAATAACTGAAGGAAATAGGTAATCGAATAAGGCCGATGTGTTACTATTTTTTGCTAGCTAAGAGCCGCCCACCTATGGAACAACAGTCCACTTCAATTTAGTTTATCTCTGGAAACTTCATGTGCTCGACCATTAATTCTCTATTTATGGCAATCAACGGGGAGATATCGAAAGATTCGGGCAAATAAGTATGGGACATGAACGGAAAAAACGTCGAAACCTTACCGAAGCACAAGCTATACCAAGCATTATTATGGCTCCAAATCACGGGTACGCCAGAGAGCACAGTTACTGATAATCAGGTCATGGGCAAAAAATCACTAGAACGACGGCTCGGCAGCAACAGTTGACGGAGTTTGCTTCATCACATTGAACGGGTTACTAGACTCCGCCCCCCAACTGAGTGCTGGATTAGAGCTGTCTTTAACGGAAACCGCCGCTCGGCATGCGCAAAATGTCCTTGTATGAAAAAACCTAAGAAATTGACAAAATCGATAAAGTAATTGAGAGGTGGGCACATAGCGATGCGTTTCTTCGGCCCGAAAATCACAAAAATAGAATTATAATCGGTGAGAAGGGTGAAATGACGGTCATAGTATGTCTGGGGAAACTTCTGCACGGCAAAGTTAATGACAAATCATTACTCCTCTATCAGTCCTTATTTGCACTCTGCAGACGTTAGCGACCAAGCGGCATGACAAATGGCCTTTTCTATTTTTTGTCGGGGAAAACGTGTGAAATTACTGCGCTACATCCATAATTGGAGGAATCCGGTGCAGAAAAAATCGTCAGGTCGGGACTGAAGCGAGCGAGCAGCAAGTCAGAGCTCAACATTGTTTTCATTTCTTCAAAGGGCTGTTGGCGCTATTGCGTCCTGTCCCATTTGACTACTAATTCAACGGATGATGAATGCGGTGTGTTTGCGATGGAAAAGAGTGCTATGACTCATGAGATCCAAAAAGGGGCGTAAGGAAATAACCTCCTTTGGTGACGACATCTGCTTGATGGCATCCATGTTAACTTGGTCTGAATGATGATTATTTCGGTCGATTATGAACCAGAGGTACTTCACAGAATGCATGGAAAATTACATTTGTCCAAGTACAGGACGGAAGTCCTAGCCTTGAGTCCAGTAAACTATAGTCTTCAAACGTTGCAACAATTCATCTATATTCGAACCAGTGACGATGATATCCAATGGTCTCCCTTGTCTTTGTCGATACTAATATTCTGACGAGGATATCATCCTGATATGCAGCGTCTCCATTTATGCTGCTCAGCGTAATATCCACTGCTGCTGGAATATGGCGGGAACAGTCTTAACACCAAGTGGCAAGTGTGTAAACTGGAACAATCCACAACGAGTGTTAATCGTCAGAAGTTACCTCGACTCCTCAGTCACTTCGATTTGGAGACGTTCGTCAGACAGATTCAGTTTAACGAAACACTTTGTAATCCACGGTCTTTTCATACTAAGTCGCAGTCTACATATCGCCTACCACAATCACATATCCGCATCTTTTGAATTCGGTTTGAAATTTTCGACCTCCGAGGGATTCACCTTTTTCGAGTCTCCTGAGTACTGGACACCCTGACGGCCTTTCGGAATTAACAAGTCGATTCTTCATAGCAATACCTCGATTCTCACAGAATCGCAACGGGTGTTTCATCCGGAAAATCTATCTTCTTCCGACCAAATCTCTGACAACAGCACCGCGATATTCCCCAAATACAAGAACGGCTGTGTCGTTTGCTATTTACTTCATACCGTTGGTCTGACTTAAAATCATTTCCATACAGTTAAAAACGGTTCAAGGGTCCTCCAGACATTGGGCAAAAATTCCACCTCGGGCCGGAGTCAAACCTGGGCGCAAGAGTGACGCTGAAATTATCGCAACCACTGCGCCATTGACGCGCAGCGAGCAGGTTGACAAAAATAATAAAATAACCGAATGACGCTATTGCGATAAGTCTCCTGCTGTCAAGTCACTTCCCGCCAAACGCGCAAAGAGTCTGATAATTTTATGGGATGTTAAATACGGGGACGAAACCTGCGCCTCATGTTTTAGACTTCTTCAGATAATCTTGGAGATGGAAAACGATATAAGGAATCTGAGATAGAATTGAGAAGGAATTGAGATGGAGGAGCTGATAAGACTTCCTCACCATTCACTCGAAGGGAGAGAGATGGCGATGTCATAAATCCAGAAAATTACCAGAAAAACTGCCAATACGACTTCAGTAACTGTTTTAGCCCCTGAAGTAGAAGATAGCCCGTCTACGAGCCTAATAACAACCGAGAACCTGTCTCCTGTGCGAGAGAAAAATGATCGAAAGGCATCTCAAAAAACGAGAAGACGTCTCAAAACATCCCGAAAAGGCCAAGTAGGTCAGAGCGTCAGCATGGGAGAGCAGAGTCCACACGGATTGCAAGCATATGCCTCACTGCCAAAAGAGATACCACATGACCAAGAAGCCTCGATAAACGAAGAACCCTGTAGTAGCTATACCATGACAACTGTCTCTGAAGTGAACACTGATGACAGCAAAATTTCGCGATGCAGAATATGCGTATAAAAATAAACGACAGTGACTTATTGATCGCACTAAATGCATCATCGTAAAGGGTACGCCTGAGTCTTCTTCAGACATCCCAAAGAACAGAATAAACCACGATATAGAATTATTCCAGTAGTACCTCAAAGCCCTATTACAAGAAAATGAGAACATCACCGTCTTGAAGGCTTTCAGAATAGGACCAATCAAGGATATAAAGGACGAGTCGAGCTATCATATGCCATTAAAAATTATTCTGGGAAATGAGGAACAATCTCTACTACTGTTGAACAGGGAACCAGCACTGCGAGATGCACACCCAACAATTTTTTTCAGCGGAATTTTCACTGGCCGAACGGGAGAAATGAAGGGAACTCAAGGTTGAACTCCTCAGAAGATACAATTCCGGCCAGAGAAATCTAAGAATATGGAATGGGAAAATCGTAAATATCCGGATCTCATTCCTCTGGAGACAACAAATAACACTGAGCATCATGAACAACCAGATAATTAGGAAAGAACGCTCCTATTTGCCAAACCGATCAGAGAAAACGACGGCCAACACACTGACATCCAGTTCAATCAAACAGCAGTAGACCCGCAATGGGACGATAGACACGAAAATTCGCACGAAACATCCAGTAACTTCGACCCAAAAATCGTTCGGGAATCTGCCTGGGCTAAGCTCCCCTTTCTTTATGCAAATGCTCAGAGCTTCTTCCAGAAGCTAGATGAGCTGAAAGTGTGGGTATCAGATACGCAGCCGGATGTCATTTCTATCACAGACACCTGGTTCCGGACCGAAGTCTTGGATGCCGAAATTACACTCGATGGATACGAACTTTTTCGCCGGGACAGGCTGCAAAGAAAAGAAGGGGGACTAGCGGTCTACGTCAAGAGAGGAATCATCGCATCGGAACACAAAACCGATAGCTCCCGCGATTGTGAAGCACTGTGGTTAAAACTGAGGATGCATGGCGTACCTAATCTTAATTTTCTAACCGTATATAGACAGACCATTCAAACTCCTGAAGTTGACGAGGCGATGTTTGGATTAATTAAAGAGGTGTTACAAGACCAAGAGGTACTGATAAACGAAGGCTTCTACGCACCCATGGTCGAATGGAATAATTTATTAGTAAATGGTTGGCGAAATTCCTTTGATTCCAGGCTCGTGAAGCTAACGGCTAATCTCTTTTTGTTACAAAACGTCACATTCCCAACCAAGATCAGAGAAGACCAAAGAGCAATTTGTCTGGACATGGTCCTTACAAACGACCCAGTTAACCCTGGCCAACTTAGGTCCATAGCACTGCTAGGTAAGAGTGGCCATGTCAGGCTGTTTTGGGAATACCGCCTCGGCTGAGTTTCTGGCGAGGAGATCTTGTCGTCATGAGAGGGGAATTATCGGTAGTGCACTGGAATTATGCTCTTTCCGGGCATTCAGACGTTGATTGGAACAGTCTCAGAGGGGTTGTAACCGATATCCTGCATCGAAACTGTCCGACAAAAAGAGTCAAAAAGCATAATCGTCCTACCTGGATAAAGCGGGATATGAAGAAAGAAGTAAGCCGCAAGAACAAACTAAGGAGAAGGTATGCAACAACAAATCAACCATCTCAATACGAACAGTTTGGTCGAAAGCGAAACTAAGTAAGCTCGGCCATCCGCATGTCACAGAAGGAGTATGAAACGCCAGTTATGGAACGGGCCATCGATTAGCCAAAAGTGCTCATTAGGTACATCAACGGCAGGTTAAAGAACAAGGAGACGGTCTGAGTGTTGAAAGACTAGATGCATATTTGCCTAGAAAATACCACTTGTCTGGATAGAAAAACTCTGT